ACCGGAAGCCAAACTGGCAGGGGCTGAGTATGTCGAATTTTACGAGGTAGGAATAGAGCTGTTTGTAAATAATTTTTTCAAATATTTTTGATAGAATGGGTAGATTTGATATTGGTCTATAATTGTTTATGTCCGCCGGATTGCCTCCTTTATGGACTGGCGTTACTCTTGCTTTTTTGAGGATATCAGGGAAGGTGTGTGACACTCTATAGATTTGTTGAACAGTAGTGCTATGGGTGGGGCAAGGGCATGGGAGGCTCTCTTGTACACAATGGACGGAATTTCACTGGTGTTCCCTGCCTTGGTTTTTAGAGAGTGTATGATGGACACAACATCTGCCGGGCTGATTGGTGAAAGGAGAAGAGAGTTTGGATAGCTGCCTGAGAGATATGTGTTAATAATGTGTTAATAATTAATCTTTTCTAGTGATGTAAGGTTCAGTTCCTTCAGGCGCTGTTCATATCTCATTCCTCATAACTCTGGGATGAGCCTTGTCCAAATCTTCTGAAACTTATCCAGTTTCCTTATGTGTTTCTTCAGGTGGGGACTCCATGATGGGGTGGCATACTCTAAGACTGGTCTCACGTAGGCAGTGTAAAGTACCCTATAAGCCTCCACACTTAGGTTTCTGAATGATGTTCTAATTTGCCAGTATAGAGTACGCTGCTGTCGTTATCCTATTTATATGTGCCTCGGGAATTAGATTAGGTGTTACGTCCACTCCCAGGTCTCTTTCTCGGATCGTCACAGGTAGGCAGGTCCCCTTCATTGTGTACTGTCGCTTTGGTCTCCTGTCACTTGATCCCATTCCCATAACTTTACATTTGCTCGTGTTGAACTCCAGTGGCCATTTCTCTGACCATCTCTGCAACCTGTTCAAGTCATCTTGGAGGATCCTACAATCCTCATCTATCACAACTCATTAATCTTGCGTCATCCACGAACATCGACATGTAGGATTCTACTCCTGTAAACATGTCATTTACATATATCAGAAATAGAATTGGTCCCAGCACCGATCCTTGAGGTACTAAACTCGCCAATGGTTCTCTGGCTCCTTCCTGTTAGGTAGTTCCTTACCCATGCTAGGGTCTTTCCGCTTACTCCTGCCAGCCTTTCAAGTTTGAATAGCAGTCTCATGTGCAGTACTGTACCAATCGCTTTTTGGCAATCCAGAAATATGCAGTCTGCCCATTCTTCTCTGTCCTGCCTTATCCTTGTTATTTGATCATAGAATTCCAAAAGGTTTGTTAGACATGATTTCCCTTTCCAGAACCCATGTTGATGTTTATTTACAAACCTAATGCTCTCTAGGTGTGCAACAAATCTTAGCCTAAATATTCTTTCAAGTATTTTGCAGGGGGTGCTTGTCACTGATACGGGTCTGTAGTCAAATGTCTCCTCCCTATCTCCTTTCTTGAAAATAAGTATGACATTTGCCTTCTTCCAGCAACTGGGCAATTCTCCCAACATAAGTGACTCATTGTGTGAGTAATTACATAAGTGTCCCACTACGCCATGCAGTCTCCGTGGTGTAGTGCTAAGACGCTCGCCTGGCGTTCCACGAGCGCTTTGTCCTGGATTCATATTCTGGCTGAGGAGGATTTACTGGGTGCAAATCCTGGCCGGGAGGATTTACTGGGTGCAAATCCTGGCCGGGGAGGATTTACTGGGTGAAAATCCTGGCCGGGAGGATTTACTGGGTGCAAATCCTGGCCGGGGAGGATTTACTAGGTGCAAATCCTTAACTGTGGCCTCTGTTTAACCCAACAGTAAAATGGGTACTTGGTTGTAAAAACGATTCTTCACGGGGGTTGTATTCCAGGGAACATGTGTGTTTTATATATATCTATATAATCTATATATTAGATATATAGATATATATAATATATAATATATATCATATATATAATATATATTATATATATATATATATCTATATATATATATATATAAAACTACCTAACTATCTTGTAGGTTATTGTTAGGTGGCCGAAAAAGTTGTAGGTTAGGTAGGTCAGGTAGTCGAAAAAATTAATCCATGAAACTTGGCTTATTAGCAAATCGGGCCTTGCATAGTAGGCTGAGAAGTGCGTTGGGCTACTAGGTACAACATTATATATTATATATATATATATATATATATATATATATAATATATATATATATAATTATATGTCGTACCTAATAGCCAGAACGCACTTCTCAGCCTACTATTCAAGGCCCGATTGTCTAATAAGCCAAGTTTTCATGAATTAATGTTTTTTCGTCTACCTAACCTACCTAACCTAACCTAACCTAGTGCTTATTGGAAACCTAACCTAACCTTACCTCATAATATAGGTTGGTAGGTTAGGTAGGGTTGGTAGGTTCGTCATATATTCTTTGTAATTATAACTCCAGTAAAAAAAAATGACCTCATACATAGAGAAAGGGTTGCTTTATCATTTCTAAGACAAAAATGGTTGTAAAATTTATTCAGGAAAACTTGGCTTATTAGGCAAATCGGGCCTTGAATAGTAAGCTGAGAAGTGAGTTCTGCTACTGGTAGACATTAATATATAATGACCCCTATTATATGTGCTATGGAGGTGAGATTTAGATATTATTAATATATATTATTATTTATAGGTATAGACATGCATTCGAAGCACATTGTCAAAATTTCAAAGCAATCGGTAAAGAGTTTCGGAAGATTTCCCTCACATGAAAAACACTGTGCAAAACCATGTTTTTCAGAAATGCATGGTTTTTTTACCGTCACAGACATGACATCTATATAGTATATATATAAACCTGCTCGGATGCGAATGGAACGTTGTAAATTCTAAAGCAATCGGTGAAGAATTTTGGAGGTTAGCGGTTATGCACAAACGAACATTTCCATTTTTTTATAAGATATATTAATTGTTAAATAAATAAATAAATAAATAAAAGCATGCATGCATGTAAATAAAGGGACCTGTGTATGGAACTCCCCAATGAACTGAAAAGTTTTTTGCCTTATTCAAAAATAAAACCAAAAAGCACCTAATTTCATTTTCATAGTTTCCTACCTAGTGCTTTAACTTACACTGCATGTACTTGCATTGCTACCCAATCCCCCATATATACTTAAGCTATATAACTTTACCATTGAATCTTTGATATTGATATCATGGTTGTTGAGTGATATATTCTACTGCATGACTCCTTGAAATGATCCTCAAATTGTGCTAGAGTGAGCCAATGTATGGTCTGAAATTTTATCCTAATGTACCTAGTAATCCTTGTCATTATGTGGTATTGTTATTATTAATTCATGAAAACTTGGCTTATTAGGCAAATCGGGCCTTGCATAGTAGGCTGAGAAGTGCGTTCTGGCTACTAGGTACGACATATATATATATATATATATATATATATATATATATATATATATATATATATATATATAGACATGCCTATTCGAATGCAACATTGTCAAAATTTCAAAGCAATCGGTAAAGAGGTTTCGAAGATTTCCCTCACATGAAAAACACGTGAAAAACACAGTTTTTTCAGAAAATGCATGTTTTTTTTACCGTCACAGACATGACATCTATATAGTATATATATAAAAACCTGCTCGGATGCGAATGGAACGTTGTGTGAAAATTTCAAAGCAATCGGTGAAGAACTTTTGGAGGTTAGCGGTTATGCACAAACAAACATTTCCATTTTATTTATATAGATATATATAATTTTATAAATAAATAAATAAATAAATAGCATGCATGCATGTAAATAAAGGGACCTAGTCTATGGAACTCCCCAATGAACTGAAAAGTTTTTTGCCTTATTCAAAAATAAAACCAAAAAGCACCTAATTTCATTTTCATAGTTTCCTACCTAGTGCTTTAACTTACACTGCACTGTACTTGCACTTGCTACCCAATCCCCCCAATATATGTACCTAAGCTATATAACTTTACCATTGTAATCTTTGATATCTGATATCATGGTTGTTGAGTGTATATTCTACTGCATGACTCCTTGAAATGATCCTCAAATTGTGCTAGAGTGAGCCAATGTATGGTCCTGAAATTTTATCCTAATGTACCTAGTAATCCTTGTTCATTATAGTGTATTGTTATTATTGTGTATTAATCTAATTTTTGTTTATCATCAAAACTTTTTACAATATACCTGTAAATTTTTTTTGTCAATTATACTGTAAATTATCTACTTAGAATTATCTGTTAGTGTAAGGACTTGCCCAAAATGCTATGCGTACTAGTGGCTTTACAAGGATGTGAAATCAACATAATTTCTATGTACTCTCTTAACCCCCAATGTACCAATGTACAATGTTACAGGGGCCTCGTAGCCTGGTGGATAGCGCGCAGGATTCGTAATTCTGTGGCGCGGGTTCGATTCCCGCACGAGGCAGAAACAAATGGGCAAAGTTTCTTTCACCCTGAATGCCCCTGTTACCTAGCAGTAAATAGGTACCTGGGAGTTAGTCAGCTGTCACGGGCTGCTTCCTGGGGTGTGTGTGTGTGGTGTGGGGGAAAAAAAAAAAAAAAAAAAAAAAAAAAAGTTAGTGTAGTTAGTAAACAGTTGATTGACAGTTGAGAGGCGGGCCGAAAGAGCAAAGCTCAACCCCCGCAAAAACACAACTAGTAAACACAATGTATATAAATAAATACAAAATTCAGACATGTGGTGGAAGGGGGATACACAGGGAAAAGTCTGGTTAACCAGACTACCAAGCAGGAAGCCTGGTCAAAGACAGGGCTGCTGGGACATTCATCTCTGCACTCATTGAAATGTAAATGAAAAGTAAGGTAAACCTCCCTGTCACTTCTTGTGCCTCTTGGAGCCCTGCTGCCACCCATCATGCCTTTCTGACCCTCCATGGTTCTCATAGTGCCCTCTAGAGAGCAATACTCCCCACTTTTGAAATTACTGCTGTATACAATAATATTGTATATACAAAATATGATAATGGATTTTGGTCTTTTTTTTTTTTTTTATAGGACTTCATCCTTGAGCACTACAGTGAAGAGCCAGACAAATATGATGAGGCTATCTCCGAATTTATGGACCTCAGAGGGGTAAGTTTTATAGTTTGCCCTATATTACTGTACTGTTTTTTTTATGTTGAATCATAACGTGTATCAATGTTCTAAATTTATTATTAGCATCTGGTACCGAGTTATCTGCAACAATAACAACTTAATGACAATGACATAACTTGCATAATCACTACCTTAAGTGATTATTTTTAACATATACTGTACTACAATTTTAATGCAAACAAGGCCTAGTTATCAGTGTAATAGTGTCCGACATTTCCCAGAAGTTACCAAGCTATGCAAGTGCATTGAATAAATGACAGTAGAGGTCTGTGTGTGGTAGGAAGAGGCATCACTTTTTGAAAAACTTTGATTTCTGTGCGAGTGACCGTGAATCAGTGTCATGGGTAAAACTTTCAATTAGGGGATAACAATGCATATCATAACTACAAAATCAACAGTACCTTGCAGCAGATTGACAAACGGTACAAGAAGTGGGAGCTGCCGTAAAAAAAAAAAAAAAAATCCAACCAAACCCTAGGAATAGTTAAATGATTCCTTGATGTCAAAAGAAAATAAAGTAACTATTGAACAGTACAAATCTCTTGTTTGCCCCCATTTGGATTACTGTTTTGTATTCAAGCATGGAAACCTCACCTTCAGAAGAACATTACTACTTTGGAGAAAGTTCAACACTGGGTGACAAAAAGGATCCCAGAACAAAGTTGACTCGCATAACAGGAATGATTGAGGGGCCACAAGACTAACACCACCCCAAACCAGACATAACAATGCTGATCTCATCGAAACTTAGTTCTGAACAATTTGGAGGATAGTGATCCAGTCCACTTCTTCAATATGTTTAACACATTAAATGAGAAACAGTTTATAGCTCAAGAATCCACAATGTAGGATGAAAAACAGAAGATGCTTTTTAACCCATATGGCTATAAACCCTGTGGAACTGCCAACTTGCTGAAGCTGTAAATGTCAAAACATTGCTGCCATTCTAAATCTAGCTGGATAAAATTGGGAAATACCTTTTGCCTTATGGGGGACCTTTTGCAAGCTGCCAGATAGCTGTCCTCATCAAGGTTATTAGAGATACGATAGCCCTCAGGTAAATTCAGGTAAGTAATCAATGGAAAGTTTAATAATGACAAGTCTTAAGAGAACTATGATGTATGAAAACATTACATACAATTAGTATAATATATATGTCAAGTCTTTGCAAGTTTCCATTAAATTATCAACACGCCAAAGTCACAAATGCCAAGACGACAATAATAATAATAATTTATAGTAATAATTCATTGTGTTGGGGGACTGCCAGCCAGTGTGTGTTCATACATGTTACGCTTATATCAAGGTCACACAATCAAGGTCGAATTACTGACCCTTTCTAGGGTGCAATCCACAACAAGCTGACTGACTCCTAAGTATCTACTTACTGTTAGGTGAACAGGCGCATTAGGTTATACAAAATGCACCGAATCAATTCTGCCCCGTTCGGGTTTCGAACCCGAAATTCTCGTTGTGAATCGAGAACAAACCCACCTGTACTACCAGGACTCTTTACAATACTGTACAGTGCAATACTGTACATCAGTTTGAAGTACAGCTGGAAAAAATCCTTGGAAAAGGAACAACCTTTGACAAGGTGCGGGCTTCCAGTTCTTGTCAAAACTCCCTCCTCCTCCTCCGCTCTGCCACTGCTTTTTGCATTCCCAAAATTAAATGTTAAGAGTATTTAAAGTATAAGAAAGAATTGGTGATGTATTGACACATCTTTATGGGACTGCTGGTTTATAAATTCTATATGCCTTGGAAGACTCAAGTTAGTATGCTTCTTTCATAGTTTTTATGTATCAAGAGTAAAAGTGAATGAGGTTGGTTTCCTGTATACTTATTTTTAACATTATATTGTACTGCAATATAATTTGATAAAAACACTAATATTGTAATAATATGGATGCATATACAGTACACTAGTGTTCAATTGAATGTGCAGTACTTGTACAGCAGTGTGTTTTAGTTCATTTTATTAGTTACAATTTTTTTATAATATTTCTTTAACAATTAATTGTTGTACAACCTAACAGGCAATGCGCACTCCAGAGCGAGACGAATCTGGAGTAGCTCTACTGTTTGAATACTTCAATCAGCTTTATTTCATCGACAGACGCTTTTTCCCTCCAGATAGATCACTCGGCATATATTTTGAATGGTAATTGTCTAGAAATTTGTTAAAACATTAACTAAAATAACCTAATTATAATTAAATCATGTTGCAAAGGTTTTTGATGATTGAAAAGAGTATTTTTGGAAGGAGTCCCTTTGGTTGCTCCCTGAAGCTATCTTGCTGACATTGTTACAAACTACAGGGTTACATCAGTTGCAGAAGTTCTGTTTGGCCTACCAGGGATTCAGTCAGAACCTGGCCCCCTTCACAGGGGTCAGAGAGCGGGTGATAGTCTGCCACTCTGCTGCAAGAAGCGTCCAAAAAGTCAGCAAAGAAGAAAACTAGTGTGTTCACAGAAAATGAAGCCTCAAACTACCAAACAACTCCCCAAACAATTCACACAGAATTAGGAATTTAAATTACTGTAGATTAAAACTCTTTAGTACTGTAAGAACTCGCTAATCCAGATCCTGTTTGTCGGCAAAACTCTGCCAAACTCGAACAAAAATCCGGGTTACTGGGAGTTTTTGGCAGGGGTTACCGAATTACATTGGAAGACCTATGCTCACCAAAAAGCCAAGAGCCTTTAAACAGTGAAGCCTCAGCAGCAGACAGTCCTAACTGACCTTGCCATTTTCATGTACATTAATTTTTGGGTTGTGTTAGATTGGTTAATAAATAAACTTCAATAAAAAATAAAGAACTATAATACCAAATATCATAACAAATAATAATAAAAATTGCATGTACAGGCTATGCAGAGTATTTCCTTGTTTAAATAAAGGATTCATTTTCACCTTCGTATATTATATTTTCACAAGCAAGCATGATGGATGAACATGCGTCACCGAAGGGCTGGTTCCTTTGTTTTTTTTTTCCTTGATGATGCTTGGCGCACAATGTTTTTCCTTCACAGATTTCTCTGCCTCTTATTATGTAACAGGCAGTCGCAACCAGATAGGCATAGCCAGTTAGGCATTTACTGTCGGACATTCACAGTTAAATCACAACCAGTCGGGCATTCACAGTTAGTTGCAACCAATCCCAGGCAGCCACAAGCAGGTAGTCAGTCACAGTCACAGATATTTACTGTCAGTCAGGCATTTACAGTCGAGCATTCACAGATGCAACTAAAGACAGTCAAACATTCACAGTTAGTTGCAACCAAAGACAGTCAGGCATTTACAGTTAGGTGAAATCTGTTAAGTGGTTTCCAGTTCACCACAGTTCAGTTCATTTCAGTTAAGTGAAACCACCAGTGTAATCACTCCCATAAATTTATATTGTAGTTTTTAAGGTAAACTTAAATTTTGCTACAATAAAATAATAATTAATAATAATAATTAATAATAATAATTCATTATGTCGGGGGAAGCCAGAGTGTATTCATACACATTTTGGCTTTTATCGAGGTCCCGCTTCAAGGCTGAGTTACTGACCCCGCTCAGGATGCAACCTCTGAACAAGCTGACTAACTCCTGAGTACCTACCTACTTACTGCTAGGAACAGGTGCCTTAGGTGAAAGGAAATGTGCCCAACCATTTCTATCCCGCCCGGGATTCGAACCCAGAATTCTCGATTATGCGTCGAGAATGAACCCGACTGTACTACCGGGACCCTTTGTAATGTAATGTGATATATGTAGGGATGTAATAGATACATCCCTATTGGTATGTATCTTCCCCGCCGGCACTCAGATGGTAATCTTGGGCATAGCATTTTATCAAATCACCTCATTCTTTGGGTCACACGTGAGGAACACAAATGCGAACAAGCCTGAATGGTCCCCAGGACTATATGCAACTGAAAACTCACACCCCAGAAGTGACTCGAACCCATACTGCCAAGAGCAACGCAACTGGTATGTACGCAACTGGTATCCGAGTGCCGGCGGGGAAGTAGATCAAATAGCTTCGGCTATCACTTCCTTATGTCCGGTCGTGATGGTCAAGCGGATTAAGGCGTCCCTGTACATACCAGTTGCGTTGCTCCTGGCAGTATGGGTTCGAGTCACTTCTGGGGTGTGAGTTTTCAGTTGCATATAGTCCTGGGGACCATTCAGGCTTGTTCGCATTTGTGTTCCTCACGTGTGCCCCAAAGAATGAGGTGATTTGATAAAATGCTATGCCCAAGATTACCATCCGAGTGCCGGCGGGGAAGTGGTTCAAATAGCTTCGGCGATCACTTCCTTATGTCCAGTCGTGATGGTCAAGCGGATTAAGGCGTCCCTGTACATACCAGTTGCGTTGCTCCTGGCAGTATGGGTTCGAGTCACTTCTGGGGTGTGAGTTTTCAGTTGCATATAGTCCTGGGGACCATTCAGGCTTGTTCGCATATATATATATATATATATATATATATATATATATATATATATATATATATATATATATATATATATATATATATATATATATATATATATATATATATATATATATATTATTATTATTATATTAGGAACATAAATTATTGACTTATTTGTGTTAGTTTAGGTTAGGTTTAGATAGATTAGGTTAGGTTAGGTAAGGTTGGTTAGGTTCGGTCATATATCTAATTTAGTTTTAACTCAAATTTCAACAAATTAACTTATAATTAATGAAATGGACAGATTTATCATTTCATAAGAAAAAAATTAGAAAAATATATAAATTCAGGAAAACTTGGCTTATTAGGCAAATCGGGTCTTGCATAGTAGTCCGAGTACGACGTTCTGGCTACTAGGTACAACATATATATATTTATATATATATATTTATATATGTCGTACCTAGTAGCCAGAACGTCGTTCTCAGCCTATTATGCAAGGCCCGATTTGCCTAATAAGCCAAGTTTTCCTAAATTAATATATTTTCTCTAATTTTTTTCTTATGAAATGATAAAGCTACCCATTTCATTATGTATGAGGTCGATTTTTTTTTATTGGAGTTAAAATTAACGTAGATATATGACCGAACCTAACCAACCCTACCTAACCTATCTTATAGGTTAGGTTAGGTAGCTGAAAAAGTTAGGTTAGGTTAGGTTAGGTAGTCGAAAAAACATTAATTCATGAAAACTTGGTTTATTAGGCAAATCGGGCCTTGCATAGTAGGCTGAGAAGTGCATTCTGGCTACTAGGTACGACATTATATATATATATATATATATATATATATATATATATATATATATATATATATGTATATATATATATATATATATATATATATATATATATATATATATATATATATATATGTGTATGTATGTTTAATCCGTTCTGGCACCGAGCTCGTTATGTGGAAAACTCGTCTTAAGAAACAAATTTCCCCATCTAAAATAAAGGAAATAAATTTAATCCGATCCACTCCCAAGAACATCCGTACATGTATGACTTTTTTTTATGTAAATAGAATACTGCACATCGAATTATAAATGTTTTGTGTTTTTTTTAACTGTTTTCATGTTTACTTTACCTTATGAAGAGTTGTTGCTGGCTTGAGGGAGACGAGGGGGAGGTGGGGAGGAGGAAAGGGGTTATGGTGTGGAAAGAGAATCCACCTCTGAGTCAGGGGGGCTCTCTCTTCTTGGGAATTTCTACCCACTGGGACCGGGTTATGGTTCACTGTCACTGGCTCTTCTTTTCTCTACTTTTGCAGAGAACGTATCTATTGACAATTGCTTTTGTCTTTTTTAGGATGTTCCTAAAACGAGACGGCAAACTGTCATTAAACATGTTCACACACCGGGTTGTCACTGCTTTATCAGGGCAGCTTTTCCAAGAATGCGTTCACCTTTTCAAACATTCCTGATCGTTATGGGAACTTGTTGCAAAATGTTGGCCTTTTGATTGTGAACAATTTGTTACCAGAATGAACGACGTAGCACAAAATTTGAGGACAAAACTGAGAGTATAAATACTTGAGTGCGGGTGGTGGGTGCATGCTTAAGAGTAAAGCTCGGCCTAACTTGGGGTATGCTGGAAATGGCCCATCAAATGATGGGCTAGTTGACCTTATATGGATACAGTATATCCGCTTTAGAGCATTCTATTGATAACAATTTGACACGAAAATGAATGGCGTAACATGAAAATTGAGGTAAGAACATTGAAAAATGTATAAACATTTGAGTGCGGGTGGGCGAGCGCTCGTGGGTTATGCTCGGTCGATTTTCGGGTTTGCTGCAGGTGGTGAATGAGGTTTTTGACCCTATATGCACATATTCCTATAGAGAAGTTCATTGCAAACAATTTGATACCAGAATGAATGACGTAACACGAAAATTGAGGGGAGAAAACTGAAAAGAGTATAAACATTTTAGTGTTGGTGGGTGCTGACTCAAAACGCTCGGCCCACCTTGGGGTGTGATGGACGTTGCGCACCGGGCCAGGCAAAGTGTTAAGGGCTAGGAGATGGGGTTTTAACAATTTTCAAAGAATTTTTTCTTTTTTTTAGGAATACTATTTTCTGTGCACCACCAGAATGTCACAATAAAAACCGTGCAGCACGAAGGTTAACATTTCCCTGTTCCCTGTGCCTCTGTGAGGGGAGCCAGGTTCTGGCTCTGGTACACTAATAAGAGTCCTATGACTGATGTGGCCAATTATTAAGAAGCAATATCAGCAACATATTAGAGACATTAAACAGAAGACCTAGTCAGAGACCGGGCCGCAGCTACGTTGATCCCTGAATTCAAAGCAAGGTAAACAAAGTAACATAGCTTCAAGGGAGCCACCAATGGCCACCCTCAGAAAAAAATTGCATCACACAGATTGCCTCCTGAAGGCATCTCTGGTTTCAAAAATTCTCACTGTAGTGATTAAGGTTAATCACTACATTAAGTGATTAACCTTATGTGAATATTAAGGTTAATCTTGTATAATTTGCCAAATCAAGGTATCACAGTAATTTTTATTATAGATGCTCTTTACTGGATAATGTATAAATATTTATCCCTCTTGTCTGTCATGGCAGGTATGATTCACTGACAGGGACACCAAGCTGCCAAAGGACAGTTGCATTTGAAAAAGCATGTGTGCTTTTTAATCTTGGAGCACTGTATACACAACTGGGAGCACGCCATGACAGAACCTCTGCTGCAGGATTGGATGCAGCGGTTAATAATTTCCTGCGGGCAGCAGGGATGTTCCGTTATCTTCACGACACATTTACCAATGCCCCATCCAAAGACCTGAGTCCAGAAGTTCTTGATATGCTCATTCACCTCATGCTGGTAAGTGTACCGGACTTGTATAAGGTGTTCTTACACTATGCTTTCAGAGCCTTTTCTATACCTACAGCTTACTTTATAACCAAGATTTCTTGAGAATGATGTAATTAACGATGTATTCATTTGTCATAATTAACAATCCTGCATTGATGATACTTGTTAACAATCAATTCACCTCATTTTCACATTAGTTCTTTTAGTACTCTTTGCAAGCTTTTAATTTATTTGTATTGGACCAAGTTGTTTCTTCTGATACTTTTCTATTCTCTCCTCTCTCCTCTCATTCTGTTAATTTCATTTTACTTTCCCTAGGGAAGTGGTAACTTTTTACACATAGTAATAAATGTCTTACTATCTGCAGACCATTGTTCAATCTCTTATATCATGTAATTTTTCTGTCTTCAGTCCACATTTAAATTGTTTAAATATGAAAAGTTGTCTTACAGTAATACAGTGGGGCCTTGACTTACGATGCTAATCCGTTCCCAGAGACGGATCGTAAGTCAAAATATCCTAAGTCGAAGCGATTTTTCCCATAAGAAATAAAGGGATTTGAATTAATCCGTTCCCCACCCTCCAAAATATTAACATACAAATACATTTTATACTGAATACAATGTTTTTTCTAACTACAATGCAGTACCTAAGTTTATCTTACCTTTATGGAGTACTCTTGATGGCATATAGAAGATGGTGATGAGGGGGGAGAAGGAGAGTTGTTACTGTTTGGAAGGGGAGTCCCCTTCCATTATCACATCAGGCAGTGATGTTTTCTCTGGGATACTCTCTCCCCTACGTTTTGCCTGAATACCACTAGGACCTGGTTGTGGTTCAGTGCTTGTTTGTCTCGGTACAAATTTGTCAAAAGACATTTGTTTTTCCCTTCGTTTTAACATTTGTCTGTAATGATGCATCAGTGTCATTGAATAGGGTAAGGCAACAGCCTACTGCAGCTTGATTTGGGTGAGTCGTTTCAGCAAAGGTTTGGAATTCTTCCCATGCTGCACACATTTTCTGAATTGTTGAGGAAGAGACATTCTGTACTGGCACATCCTCCCCCTGAACAAATTTCTTCAGCTGCCTCTTCTTGCTGCTCCTTTTGAAGGGCTTGAAGTTCTTCGGTGGTCAGTTCTTCGTTGTGTTCTTCCACAACTCCTCCACATCAGCACCATCCTACTTTAAATCCAATTGCCGACCCAGAGAAACAATTTTCTCAACAAGAGGCACTTTAGGTTCAGGCTCAAACCCCTCAAAGTCTCGGTCTGCAACACATTCAGGCCACAATTTTCTCCAGCCAAAGATCATGGCTCTTAGTCACTTCTTGGCAGGCTTTGTCAACAAGTTTTAAAGCACTATAAATGTTAAAAAGGTTTTTCCAGAACTCTGAGGGTGAGGTTCGTGGCATCCGCCACTTCGACACATCTCCGGAAAAGTGCCCTTTCATAAAGTTTCTTAAAATTGGCAATGATTTTCTGGTCCATAGGCTGAATTAGAGTGGTGGTGTTGGGAGGAAGGAACTTTTTTGTAACAAAACTAAATTCCTCCATCAATGAATCCTCCAAGCCTGGAGGATGGGCAGGAGCATTATTGAGGAGAAGCAGGGCTTGAGTGGCAAACTGTTCTCCTGCAAATATTTTTTGATGGCAGGGCACACCACCTCATTCACCCACTCCGTAAAAAATTGCCTAGTCACCCATGCCTTAGCATTAGCCTTCCACATCACACACATTTTGTGTTTCTGCACATTATATTTTTTGAAAACTCTTGGATTTTCGGAATGATACACAAGCAAGGGTTTAATTTTCAAATCGCCACTCGCATTACCACACAACACAATAAACCGATCTTTCATAGGCTTGTGTCCAGGCAATGACTTCTCCTTCTTGGTAATGTATGTTTTCTTTGGCAATCTTTTCCAGAATAGCCCTGTCTTGTCACAATTAAACACTTGTTGTGGTAGGTATGCCTCACTCTGCACAAAATCTTTAAATTCGCCACTGAATCTTTCAGCCGCTGGTTTGTCTGAGCTGGCAGCCTCCCCATGCCTCACAACACTATGAATTTCACTTCTTTTTCTAAATTTCTCAAACCATCCCCTGCTCGCCTTAAACTCTTTCGCTTCTGCATCACTCGTTCCAGGGGTTTTCTTTAAAAGATCTTCATGCAATTTTTTTGCCTTTTCACAAATGATGGCCTCCGAAATGCTATCACCTGCTAACTCCTTGTTGTGTATCCAAATTAATAATAACTTTTCAACATCTTCAAGTGTTTGTGTTCTATGTTTCGTGATTATTGATACGCCTTTTGCTACTTTAGCACTCATAATGTCCTTTTTCTTAGCCAGTATGGTGGATATCATTGACTGAGATTTGTTATACTGCCTAGCCAGTTTAACAACCCGCACACCATCTTCATATTTACGAATGATCTCTTGTTTTTGCTCTATGGTCATCCTTACATGGGATCTCATATGTTGAGCCTTACCACTGACTTTCCTGGGACTCATGGCGTGATATATAATAATTACTTTAATGCTCAAAATGCAAAAAATCACTACAAACGCAGAATTTCTTTTAGGCGCGATCGTCACTAAGCGGGCAGCGGTAGTAAACTGAGGCAGGTCGGACTGCGTGACCTGGAACCACGCGCTCGGTCGACCCAAACGTGTACCAAGAAATATCGTTAGTCGAAGACACCATCGTATGGCGAGTCGCATTTTTTTATGAAATTTACATAGTTACTCGAAATTATCGTAAGTCGGGGCAATCGTAAGTCGAGGTGCCACTGTATTAACATTTCTTCACTATAAATATTTGAGTTAATATTCGACATTCTTTAACCCTTAAACTGCGCATGGCGTATGTATACGTCATGAGTAACATGTCCCTCAGTGTGCATGGCGTATATATATGTATATATATGCAATTGACGATCACAAAACACTGATCATTTTATGCGGAAAATCCACAGAGAAATATGAAATGAGGTGTTCAACAAGACACCTCATTTCATATTTCTCTGTGGATTTTCCGCATGTATATATATATATGCCATAGGGTGCCAGACACGTTTCAAATGGTACATGGCTACACAGGGTTCACAATAGCTTCCTCAGGGCTCTTGTAAACAGACACCATGTTTAACAAAAATTGTGGGCAATATTCTCCGGTGTGAGAGCCACAGTACTGTTGGAGCAACCAAGACTGGCGCACACAGCATGAGTGAACAGCATTGCTGTTTAGCTTGTGACCATCGCCGAAAAATGTCAAAATAAATATATAACTGCTGTTATTTAGTGATGATAATATTCCAGATCACCCCGACTGTGATAAAAATGACCAGGATTGTGATAATAGCAGGATTGTTGTGATAATTAGCGCTGTGGGAGGAATGATGCTGAGGGACGGAGGGAGATAGCATTGTTTACTGACTGTGTGGCCACCTGTTATTGTTTGCATTCACCATACCAGCTCAGTGGTTCTCCATGGTGAACAAAATTGTAGATACTTATATATAATGTGTGTATTAGTGTAATAACAGCAAAAGGGTTATGTTAGGAGGAGCCTTTTGGGTGACAGAGGTGGCGTCGTCTGCATGACTTGTCTAGCTGTCTAGAGGGTGGCCACTATGTTGTTTGGGAACCCTACAAGCTTAGGTGTACAGTTATGGTGCATACAACATGTAGATATTTATATATAATGTGTGTATATAGTGTAATAACACTGCAAACAGTATTGTTGGGGGAGAAATTTAGTACGTGTGACCTTGAAGGAGTGAGGGGAGGCAGCTGCCAGCTGACTGTGTGTTGTGACGACTCCTAGTGCCTGAACTAACTATATCAGCTTAGTTGTACAGTTGTGTTGAACAAAACATGCAGATACTTGTATATAACCTGTGTATAGAGTGTAATAACAGCAAAATTATTTGTTTGTTTTATGAACATAATAATTGAATCACTAATATGCACACCATACTTTTGAGTATAGCAATGATTCACCCCTTTTATTATATAAATATATCACAATACACTATTGAATAATATTACTGCAAGAAAACAAAGAAAAAATCACATTGAAATAATTAGGTAATAATATCTTTGTGGCAACTCCTACCTGTCAGCTCGGGTGACGCTGACCGGCTCTGACGACCGCTCGGTCAATGCCCACTTTTTGCCAGACCTCCTCGGCCTATTGTGCCCAAAATATGTCGCCTACGATTTTTTTTTATTTTTCCCGTGCTCAGGGAACACAAATTTACATTTTTAGAAGACAAAATAATTTTTTAGATTTTTTTCTTGCGCACAGGGGTGTAAATCTCCTCAGGACCCCTTAGCAGCTTAACCACTTAACTGTGCCAACCGAGTTTCTCGGACGGCGGGAAACTGCGCCAACCGAGAAAACTCGTTTTGATTTTTCGTAACCAATTCTAAATGTGTACGAGGTTGGTTGTGTATGAAATGGATTCTTAGGGCCTCCAGTGAGAGGCAGCCATCTTGAAAAAAAAATCCCAGAATGCCCTAGGGCTGCTGGCTGGGTTAGTACTGAATGAGCAACCATGGGTGGCGCACGCGCCTCTGGCTCCCAAACACCTGTCCGACGCGGTGTTGAAAGATAATGCTTTGTCGGTGAAATTCAAACCTTATTGTTTGAAGAACATAAGGATCATAATATTGGGGAAGCCAGGCACAATAAGGACCTGGTTGATACCTGGTTGATGGGGTTCTGGGAGTTCTTCTACTCCCCAAGCCCGGCCCGAGGCCAGGCTTGACTTGTGAGAGTTTGGTCCACCAGGCTGTTGCTTGGAGCGGCCCGCAGGGCCACGTACCCACCACAGCCTGGCTGATCCGGAGCTTCTCTTAGAAAACCGTCCAGTTTTCTCTTGAAGATGTCCACGGTTGTTCCGGCAATATTTCTTATAGTCGCTGGGAGGACGTTGAACAACCGCGGACCTCTGATGTTTATACAGTGCTCTCTGATTGTGCCTATGGCGCACCTGCTCTTCACTGGTTCAATCTTGCATTTTCTTCCATATCGTTCACTCCAGTACGTTGT